TGTGCTTAGATACGACCGATTTTGGTGTCGTCGGGCTCATCTCGTTGAGACATTTAGTTTGACTATAAGTTTGCTGAGATTGGAGTTTAGATTATCCCGAACTTAAATTCAAAAAATTCCTAATTAAAAAATGCATCAAGATTCGTGCTATGCTAGGGTGATTTTTGGTGATATATCAATAACATATCATGCAGTGCAATATGCCTTATGTAATATGATTTAAGAACCAATTTTTATTTATTACATTATCATGTCATTTTAATAAATTTGTTTAAGTTTAATCTGAAATCAATCCTATTTGTACGATACGATCGACATATAGTATGATAAATTTAAATTTTTTTGTTACTTGTTGATCGTATAATATAAATTAAATAGAATAATATGATCAAATGTGACAATCCTAATTTTACTCAATGATTGATTAAATCAATTTTAACTTTAATTATGTGTGTTGGTCATCTCAATATCTTTAATATTTAAAAGGGAAATTTACCTACATACCACTTTATAACATTCTATTTACATATCTAACACCCAAAACTTTAATATTACATAAATACCACTCTATACTATTTTAATATCAAATATACCACTCATATTTTCTTCCTACCACTCATATATTTAAATCCCCCTAATATTTAATGTTTTACTTTATCTTAAACTATTTTTCTATGAGTTTATTCCTTCTTGTTTTGAGGAAGGAGTTGAATTTTAAAAGTGATTAATTTTACTAATTCACTATTTGATGTTTTAGGTTTCATTGAAGAACCTTTCTTACTATTTTATGAAATAGAATTTTAGTAAAAAAAATTTATTCAAAAAATTTTGGTACCAAAAATTTGATACATAAAGTTGTAAGAAAGCTGTCCCAAATGAAGCATTACAGTTCGTTTGGAACAACTTTCTTACTGTTTTCTAAATCAACTTTTTAGAACACATAATTTTTTTTTATTAAAAACTATTTTATAAAACAGCAAGAAAGTTATCCTAAATGAAGCCTTAGCTTCGCTAATGTTATATTCTTGAATTTTTAGGACGATTTGCGGTTTCTTCTTCAACTCCATATTATTTTTTACTCATCTTTTTTTTCAAGAGAAATTAAGGAGCCAACTAATAGAAGAATACATTAAGAAGAGAAATATTTAGATTTAGATATAATACTAATTTTAACATCTTAGGCAAACACCTAAAAACTTGTTAACATTTTGAACATATGATTAGGGCTGTCAAAATCGGGTCACGGGTCGTGTTCGGGTCGAACCCGAATTGACCCGAACCTAAACGGGTCAACCTGAACCCGACCCGTTTATAGAAACGGGTCAGTATTTAGGACCCGAACCCGACCCGAGCCGGGTTCGGGTCATCCCAGATTGACCCGTCGACCCGTTTACAAGTGAGAGGATATGCAGGCATGTGGCACAGGTAAACCAATCCAGTAAGACAGTAGTCACAGCAGCACATGTAAACCAATCCACCAAGAGAGCAAATAATATAATCCAAAACATAATGGCCCCAAACAAATGAGGTCATCCTTCGCCGTTTCTTAGTAACTGCCCCCTCATTACATAGCTCGTTAGACGGCTCTACCACATTTTCAGAAGTCCGAACTTCTTCATTTTCATCAATAGATAAATTCTCAGGAATGATGTTGGAATCCTCCATCTAACCAAAACAATAAAAAATATTACAAATTTACATTACTAATTCTAACTTCTTTGTTTATTTTCTTCTTTAAAAAATAGACATAAAACATCTAGACTTTAGCTCAACTAATTCTTCCCCAAATGCCTAAGAACAACTTCTCCAAGAACTAAGAATAACAACATAACTGCCAATTGCCAAATACAAATGTGACAGCATAACATACCCTCTAAAATAAAAAAATCGCTTCAAAACCAGATGCTCAACAACAACTGCATTAACTAAACAGAAAAACCAACACAAATTGAACAGAAAAATCAGCACGTCGAGCTTGACTTGGCTCGTTTGCACACCTACTGCGATAGATTAAATCCCATCATGGACTGAACAGAAAACCCATCATGGACTGAACAGAAAACCCTTCTAAAAATATATTTAACTGAACAGCACCTCTTCAACTATTCGGCCAAAAACATCCCCAAAACCGAAAGCATGCCAATCCACAAATGCATGCCAAAATTTACCAAATCTTCAAAAAAACCGATATAATATTCGACATAAAAGCAAATCAGCAAGACAAAAATAAATCGGACAAACCCTAAATAGCTATACCCAAAAACTTTTCACGAAACTTCGGAATATTTTGATCAATCAGCAATAAAAAAAAACCACCATCTACTGTGCTCACAGATCAAGCTTCTAAAAGGAGAAAATAGAAAAAAGATAAGAAATACAAATAGCGATCGATGTAGATGTTCGTGTTGAGCCAAATGAGATGTGCACGATGAACACCATGTACCCTACGCACCAACAAGACAACAATGTGCAAGAGAAGGAGAAGAGAGGAAACCGTCGATAGAGCGAGGAGATCCGGAGAGAAGAAACAGAAACCCTAGACGAAGCAGCGAAGAAGAGGAGGCGGATGCGAAATGCGGCCCTATGGAGCCCTAACACCAATTAAGGCATCGCGCGAAAATTAATACAGCGCGGGTCGAAATGGGTTGCTATCGGGTTGTCGTGTCAACCCGGACCAGACCCGAAAGTTGAACCGGGTCAATTTACTAAACCCGAACCCGACCCGTTTTGAGATCGGGTCGGGTCAGACCCGAAATTTTTGGGTCGGGTTCAGGTCGGGTTTTTGTGTCGTGTCAATTATTGACACCCCTACATACGATTATATCTTTCCTAATGAATGAAAGATAATAACTATTTTGATGAATCTAATGCACGCATCAGATTTTTTTTACTAGTTTTTATGTGAAATATCTCATGATAATGCATAAATAAATAAATATGGGATTATTTCACTTCATTAGTTCCCCCTTATTTATTATGCAAATCATATCACAAATCTCTTTATCTACTTTTGCATGTGGAAGTAAATGTACAAAAAAATAGTTTAAATGTTTTAAATTTATAGTTATGATAAATTACATTCTTCTCGTGTTCACATCAATAAACTCATCATTCACATTTTTGGTTGACTTAGGCTTCTTTTGGGACGGCTTTCTTACTGCTTCTTAAAGCAGTTTTTTGTAATACAAAAGTTTTAATTTTTGTACAAAAAATTAACTTTAAGAAGTTATAAAAAAGCCGTCACAAATGAAGCCTAAGAGTAACCTACTTGTATCATATTTTAAATATAATAATAAATAAATTAAATAAGCATATGCATTATAGTTTCTAAGGATTCATTTAAGATAGCTTTCTTACTGCTTTCTAAGGCTTCATTTGGGGTGACTTTTTAATGCTTCGGAAAGCAGAAAAATAATCTCCCCAAATGAAGTATAAAGCTATTTTTAATCAGAAAAATTTTAAATTTTAAAATAATTTGCATTAAAAATTTGTTTTATAAAGTGGTAAGAAATCTGTATCAAATGAAACCTAAAAATCAAATAGAATATTATCAATAATGGGGATTGGGTGATACAATACCCATTCGGTTGAACCATTGTAATCAAATTGGCCATAATAATTTATTTATTTTTTGCTTCTAAACCCTTAAAACCAAAAAAAAAATCACTAATATTAATTAAATGTTATGACACAATAAGTGGAGGGGTGAATTTATCTTTTCTTAAAATCAATTTAAGCTCAATTTAGCAATAAATCTCTCTCTCTCTCTCTAAAATAGGAACATACATGAAAATTAATTTAACATTCAAGATCAATTAATATAATTTTACAACTTATGGGTAACTCACCACCAAGTTATTCATCATAGATAATCAGCCAATTAAAGCATGCTAACTTAGTATGATTGGATATTATATTAATTAAGATTCAATATCTCTCTCCCTCTTAATACTAAATTAACAAACATAAGAATCTTAAGGTGTTAAATGAAGAAGATGATCTTTATGTGTTACTCATTTTTTTCTCTAAACTATAAACTATCTCTAAAGTTTTTTAAATGATAGAGGGTCTTTCTCTAGTATAGTTTAATTTGAGCTTTCATATATTTATTTATATCAATAGCCTTTGACATACATTTGTAGCAATAAGGATATTAATATAAGTAAAAATTTTGATTAGTTGATTGTACTATATGATCTAGATCATTCAATACGATCAATTTAATTTTGATTTTACTAGCTTTGAGATAATAATGTGATGTATTAATTTTAAAATAAAAAAATAGATTATATAATATCATGAATCAATTATGACAATCCTAATTTTACTCAATGATTGATTAAATCAATTTTAACTTTAATTATGTGTGTTGGTCATCTCAATATCTTTAATATTTAAAAATGTGATATAAATGAATTTTGTATCTTGAAGTTTTTATCTTCATTTCATTCGAGCTAGCTCGAGCTAATCGGATAATTTACTTGGAGTTAAAAATGTTTGAATTTTTTTTTTCTTTTTTACAGTTATTGAACCCTTTCAACCTCTACCTAAGGTAAATTAGTTAATACATGCACTAATCTAAATGACAATATTTGCTCATATTAAATCATTTTTATGAAAAGTTTTTAAAAAATTATTATATGATTATTTAGGCAATTTGACCCACTCCATCTATTTTTTAGTCCTTATTATATAGATTTGTAGGCAAGTGCGCCCACCCCCTTTGATCCCGACATATCTACAAAACGTATAATGATCAAGGATATGAATAAATAGGGGTCGAGCCGACTTCAAGACAAAAAAAAAAAAAAAAACAAAACAAAAAAAAAAAAAAAAAAAAAAACTACACATTTTTCCCCCCTCTGAAAAATTAGGGGTGTCAATTTCGGGTCACGGGTCGGGTCGAACCCGAAACTGACCTGACACTATTTGGGTTCGGGTCAACCTGACCCGTTTTTGTAAACGGGTCGATTTTCTGGACCGAACCCGACCCGCTTCAGGTTCAGGTCAACCCGACCCGACCAGCTTGGGGTTCAGACATTCGGCATTTTCCGCACATGCGGCGACTCGTGGGAGACCGCAGCTGGAGACGGTAGCGGCAGCCGGCAGTGTAGGAAATGTAGGGAAGGCATGGGGCGGCGACGTGGCTCAGGCTGTCGGGCAGGCAACGCGCATCACGCGAGTTGGCAACCGCGACGCGACTCAGTCTCGGACAAGCTACGCGCGATCAAGTGGGGCATCCAGGTCATTTCTGGGTTTCCGGGTCAACCCGAACCTGATCCAGCTTTGCAAACAGGTCAATTTTTTGGACCCGACCCGCTTCGGGTTCGGGTCAACAAAATTAAAGCTTATATATATATAGGGGTATCTATCTGCTGCTACTCCAAAGGGAGCGCTTGGCGGCATAACTAATCCCTCAGCGGAACCCAACGAGACCACCCACCAGCAACGGGCCCACACTTGCTTTGCCCGACTGAAAAGGCGAGGCCGTAGTAGAAGTGGTTCGAACTCAGGATAGAGGTTCCCAACCGTACTCACTTGCCAACCACCCTAAGCATAAAATCATAGGCAAAACAAAAGAGAAATCGGAGTTGTCATCAAACAGCTTAAATTCTGCCATCAAACTGCCCCTTTATTTTAATGATGGGAAAAACCTACTTAGAATTTTAAGCATGTTGATGAACTTTCTTGCTTGGTGATTCTATCCGTTTTGCGTGGGAAGCCAATTTACTGTACGCAAGCAGGACACGTCTTCCCGTTGTCCACATGGTTTCATCCGTTTGACTCAATCCAAGTCAACTTCATTATATTTCTTCTCCGTTCTACGAGAAATTATTACGTGCAGAATCCGGACGAATTCGTCCGAACTTCAATAAGAAAGGATCACATCATTGTATGCAGTATGTGTATTAATACATACACTATGTATAAAGTTGCACACAGTGTGTATTGATAATATGATCGTCTTTTATTGAAGTCTAACCACGAGCTGTATCCAAACTCCGCACGTAATATTTTCTCCTGCTATATATATAATCTTCTCTTGTTTCCTTAGTTTTTCTGTTTGGCGAAGCAAGGCCTTGGAATCCCTCAATGACTAAAGCACTCAAACGTGCATGTGGGCGGCTGGGAGCAGGTTTTTTTTTAAAAAAATTATTGTGAGAATTATAAATTTTATTTTGAAAAATCAAAGCACTTGACACATAAGAAATCTGATTATAAAAATATCAAAATCTGGAAAAAAAAAAAAACTTTGAAAGTAAGTAAAAATATAATCTGTAAAAAAAGAAAAAAAAAATGAAGAAACTGTTACCAACAGACTCTTAGGGGCTGTTGGGTAGCAGGATTTAGGCCGGATTTGCGGCAGATTTGAGCGATAGCCACACAAACAGCCTAAAATGCAAAACCAAATCTCACGGCAAATGAAAGCCGGTGTAGACAGAAAATTCCGTCTTTTCCTACTAAATCCTGGATTTTCAAAATCTTTTTTTTTTTCCGGATTTACAAAATTCATTGACTCTAGAAGAAGACTCCGCTCGTTAAGTCCGCTCTATAGCCAAACTGTCACACAAAATTTATCATGAATGTTATCAAAAAATTTTCAAAATTTACGAAATCTGAATTTAGCGGATTTATGAAATCATACTTAAATCAAATCCTGGGTGCTACCAAACAACCCCATAGAGTTGAACATGAGCTATTCATGAACATAAAGTTCACAACTTGAAAGTAATACGGTTAATAAAGTAA